TCTTGACAGAATTTTTATGAAACACAAATGTTAAGTTACTTTCCTGCTTAGAAAAATATCTTTTGTTATTTACCATATAATGTTTCTTACAATCAAATCCTTACATGTCTCCCTTTACAGCCTCCTCTTTTAACAAACATTGAGGTATAATATGCATACAATAAAGTGCTTAAAGTGCACTAACCTTAAGTACTCAACTTTATGAATTTTTACACACACACATACACACATAACCATTCCCCAGATCAAGATATAGAACATTTCCACCACCCCAGAAAACTCCTTCAGGCCCCTTCCTAATCAATATCCAACCCCAAGTTTTATTCTGACTTCTATTACCATAGATTAGATTTGAACATCTTATAAATGTACACTATATGTACGGTATGTACTCTTTTGTCTCTGGTTCAATATTATGATGATCTTTTACTCATCATATCTATGAGATTCATCCACATTGCCAGTGTCAGTAGCTCGTTCATCTCTATTGCTGTGTACTGTTTGAATATACCACGGAATCTACTTAGGCATTCACCTGATGATGGACATTTGAGTTGTTTCAAGTTTGCCGCTGTTATGAATAATGCTGCTATGAATATTCTTGTGTATGTCTTTCATAGACATATGCACTCATTTTTAATACCCAAGAGTGGAATTGGTGAATCAGAGGGTTTAAGTCTGCTCTTTAGCAGCTCCTTACACAACCTGTATTCCTACTTTTAGTATCATTAAAATGAACTTCTATTTGCTTTATTACGTCATGTAGTCTACCCCCTGAGCTATAGAAACTAAGTCTGAGAGATAGCAAATTAATACATTCAAGGTCACAGACTGGGACTTCCCCATATTTCCCGTGATTTTTAAAAATAATTGCCAATGACTCAGTAACGACATCGATTTTTTTCTTCCAAATGTAGTTGACATTCAGTATTTTGTATTCATTTCAGGTGTACAGCATGGTGGTTAGACATTTATATAATTTATGAAGTGATCCCCCTGATAAGCCTAGTACCTACCAGGCATCAGACATAGTTATTACAATATTAATGACTATATCCCCTATGCTGTAATTTATATCCCCATGAGTCTTTTGTAACTACCAATTGGTATTTCTTAATCCCTTCAATTTTTTCAACCAGCCCTCCAATCCCCCTCCCATCTTGCAACCATCTGTTTGTTCTCTGTATTTATGAATCTCTGTTTTGTTTGTTCGTTTATTCTATTTTTTAGATTCCACATATAAGTGAAATTATATGGTATTTGTCTTTCTCTGTCTGACTTAATTTCACTTAGAATAATACCCTGTAGGTCCATCCATGTTGTCGCAAATGGGAATATTTCATCTTTTCTTATGGCCAAGTACAATTCCATTGTCTATATGTACCAAATTTTCTTTATCCAGTCATCTATTGATGGGCACTTAGGTTGCTTTCATATTTTGGCTATTGTAAATAATGTTGCAATGGACATAGGGGTGCATATATCTTTTCAAATTAGTGTCCAAAAGTGGAATTGCTGGTTATTAAGGTAATTCTATTTTTTTAATTTTTAGAGGACCTTCCATTCTGTTTTCCATAATGGCTACACTAATTTGCAATCCCAACAACAGTACATGAGGGTTCCCTTTTCTCCACATCATCACCAATACATTTTGTTTGTTATTTTATTGATGATAGGCATTCTGACAGGTGAGAGGTGATATTTTGTAAAATTTTAAAATTGGTTTATACTTATATTTGCAAAAAAAATCTGGTAGCATAGGAATTACCCCTGGGGAATGGGGATGCAAGTGCTTGTGGTAGGCGGAGTCTTAAAGGGTCATTTTTCCTCTTTATAGATGTCTGCATTTTTGAAATTCTTTAGATAAACATGTTTTACTGTTGCAGACTTTTTTTAAAAAAAATCACAAAATAATAAAACAAATGGTGTAAGAAAGTAGTCCAGTTTCATTTTTTTGCATGTATCTGTCCAGTTTTCCCAGTACCATTTATCAAATAGACTATATTGGTTTTATATTAAAGTATATTTTGTCTGGTATAAGTATTGCTACCCCAAGTTATTTATCACTTCTATTTGCATGGCATATCTTTTTCTATGCTTTTACTTTCAGTGTGTGTGTCTCGATCTGAAATGAGCAGCATATGTAAGGGTGGTGTTTTCTTTATCTACTCAGCCTCCCTATGTCTTTCAATTCAAACCTTCAATCCATTTACATTTAAAGTAAATGTTGATAGATATGTAGTTATTGCCATTTTATTGTTTTTTATCTTTTTTTTTCTGCTTAAGTCCCTTTAACATTTCTTGTAATCCTGGTTTGGTAGTGATGAACTCCTTTAGATTTTTCTTGTCTGGGAAGCTCTTTATCTGTCCTTCGATTCTAAATGATAGCTTTGCTGGGTAGAGTAATCTTGGTTGTACGTCCTTGCTTTCCATCACTTTCAATATTTCATGTCCCTCCCTTCTTGCCTGAAAAGTTTCTGTTGAGAAATCAACTGACAGTCTTATGGGAGCTCCCTTGTAGGTAACTAACTGCTCTTCTCTTGCTGCTTTTAGGATGCTCTTTGTCTTTAACCTTTGGCATTTTCATTATGATGTATCTTGGTGTAGGCTTCTTTGGGTTCACCTTATTTTGGACTGTGTGCTTCCTGTACTTGTATGTCTGTTTCTTTCGCTAGGTTGGGGAATGTTTCAGTCATTGTTTCTTCAAATACATTCTCAATCCCTTGCTCTCTCTCTCCTCCTGGTACCCCTATAATGTGAATATTATTAAGCTTGATGTTGTCCCAGAGGTCCCTTAAACTATCCTCATTTTTTTAATTCTTTTTTTTCTTTTTGCTGTTCCTACTGGATGTTTTCTGCTATCTTGTCTTCCAAATCGCTAGTTCAATCCTCTGCTTCATCTAACCTGCTGTTGATTCCTTCTGGTGTAGTCTTCATTTCTGACTGGATCTTTTTTATGTTTTCTATCTCCACTTTTATGTTTCCTATCTCTTTGTTGAAGTTCTCACTGAGATCATTGAGCATCCTCATAACCAGTGTTTTGCACTCTGCATTTGGTAGATTGCTTGTCTCCATTTTGTTTAGTTCTTTTTCTGGAGCTTTGTTGTGATTGTCCATTTTGGACATGTTTCTTTGTCTCCTCATTTTGCCTGCTTCCCTATGTTTGTTTCTGTGTATTAGGTAGAGCTGCTTTGTCTCCCGGTCTTGGTACAGTGGCCTTATGTAGTAGGTGTCCTGTGAGGCCCAGTAGCACAATCTCACTTGTCACCTGAGCCAGTTGCTCTAGGTGTTTCCCTATTGTGGGTTGTGTGTGCCTTTCTCTTATAGTTGAGCCTTAGTTGCTGTTTACACATCAGTGGGGGAAATTGACCCTCAGGCTTATTGGTTGTGAGAACTGACTGAATACAGTAGAGGAGCTGTTGTGCAGGGGCTGACCCTATGGAGCTGGATTTACTTTAGCGGGGCTCTGGTGCCTCCTGAGTCTGCTGTTTGGGTGTGTTGTTTGTGGAGGTGGTTGGGTTGTTCTCTGTTGTTGTCTGAAGCTGGCCACCAATTGTTTTGTTTCTGGTGTTTTTTTTGTGGGGGGGTGCTCTGGTGTAGGCCAAGGTCAGCTGCCTGTGCCCTGCCCACTTGATATGAGCTACAAAGTGACCTGCAGATTTTTTCCACTTGTGCTGGGCTTGGAGGTGCCTGAGAGAGGGAAAACTGCAAAATGAGGCTGGCTGCTGCTACTGTCTGGCGTGGAGCTGCTTAGCAAGAGTTACGGGGCACATTGAGGCCAGATGCTGTTTGGTTGGGGTTTGTGAACCTTTGAGAAGTTTAGGAAACCTGCAGCAGGAGCCATGACAAGCCATTTGCGTGGAAAAGCCACTGGAAGTGACTTGGGTGGGCCCGCATGTTGGGTGGGGTGGGATCTCAGGGAATCACCAGAGTAGGGTGGACGTTGGTAGTCAGGTTGATGGAGACTCAGATATGGCACCTGTCTTCCTCTGGACACTGGGTGGGGGAGGGCTCAAAAAAGAAACAGTGGCTTTTGTCAGCACTTCTGTCTGGGAGAAAGCTGCCCCCTTCCGCCCTTGTCCTGAAGTCAGGCAATTCAATTCCTCTCCATATGTTCCTGGCGCTTTTGGAGCTGCTGCCCCAGCGCAGGAGCTCAGAGCAAGTGAGTCCGTCAGTGAGTAAGTCCATGCACGGGGCCCTTAAGAGGAACTTCTGGGACTTGAGTTACCCTCCAGGTCACTGAGCAACAATCTGCACTGATTTTCACAGTCAGATGTCATGGGGACTTCTTTGCCCAGCCCTGGAACCCTGGGCCAGGGATCCTGGTATGAGACTGGGACCCCTTGCTCCTCAGGGGACACCTCCACAGCTGAGATAACCTTCCTGATTTTTAAACACCACATGTGTGGGTGGGACCAGCCAGGTCTGCATTTCTGCCCCTCCTACCAGTCTCTAGCTGGCTGCTTCTATATATCCTTAGTTATAGGACTTGTGTTCTGCAAGACTTCAGATGATTCTCAATGATTATTGTTCTGTAGTTTAGTTGTAGGTTTGAGGTGATCATGGGAGGAGGTGAGCACATTGTTTACCAACTCAGCCATCTTGACTGGAGTCTCAGAGCATCAGATATCCATGTTTTTAAAATATTTTAGGTTAGTTATCGAGTACATCTAACTTGAAAAATGTTCAAATTTTTGAAGTGCTTAACCCTTTTCATGTCTTACACTGTTTTGTCACAGTGGTAGAGCTCCTAATCTCGTTTCACGGTGCTGTGAAGTACTGCATTTTCAATTATTGTAACATTCTGAAAGTGATCCTATAGTGCCTAAATATTTCAAAATCTTTTCAAAACACCTTTGATTACTGTTTTTTGTTGTTGTTGTTTGTTTGTTTTGCTTGCTGCTTAAATTTTTCTTTTTAACTATACTTTGTGTTGAGTTGTGCTAATGAAAATAATTTGTTTAAATTCTGTCCTTTTTCCTTACCAATTTTTATTTCAGATGATAACATCTTTGAAAATCCTATGGTACATGAAGCTATACGAATGGGGTTCAGTTTCAGGGACATTAAGAAAATAATAGAGGAAAAAATTCAGACATCTGGGAGCAACTATAAATCACTCGAGGTTCTCGTTGCAGATCTGGTGAATGCTCAGAAAGACAATACACATGATGAATCAAGTCAGACTTCATTGCAGAAAGGTATGCATGGCTGGTTTTAAAAAACAAGAGACACCTAACAGCAGTTCATTATGGATAGTATCCTATGACTCTGTGGTTCATTCATTTCCCTCCTTTCATATCCCCTTTAAGATAAACATTTTTGTAACTTTTTATTATGAAAAATGTCAAACATACTCAAAAGTGGAGAGAACAGTATAGTGAACTCTGACATATCCATCAATCAGTTTCAATAATTATCTACACATTTACAGTCTTGTTTCATTCCACCCCCTTTTTGCTATAGTATTTTAAAGTAAATCCTATACATTCTATATTTTATTTACATATAAATATTTAACAGATAAAGCCTTTTTAAAATCTAACCTTAACGTTGTCTACCGTAGACAGGGTGGCTTAAACAAAATACATTTAATTCTCACAGTTTTGGAGGCTGGAAAGTCCAAGATCTAAGTTCAGGCAGATTTGGTTCCTGATGAGGACTTCTTCCAGACTTGCAGATGACCGACAAAAAGAGCACTCTGGTTTCTCTTCCTCTTCTTAATTATAAGGATACTAATCCCATCATGGGGTCCCACCCTTATGTCCTCATCTAAACCAAATTATCTCCCAAAGGCCCCATCTCCAAGTACCGTCGCATGGCGTGTTAGGGCTTCAACATAAGAATTTTGAGGAGACATAGGCATTTAGTCCATCATATACTATTATCACACTTAATGAAATCATGATATCATCTAAAACTCAGTTGGTTTTAATTTTCCCCATTGTCTTAAAATGTTTCTACAGTTGATTTGTTCTAATCAGGATCCAAGTAAGATCCACTGATGCTTTAATTTTAAAAGTGAATTTACACTCTATTTTAGATAAATAACAACAACTAACTTTTATCATTGTGTGTAGTATAAGTTTTTATAGTTGAAACTGTTTGGATATAGAATGTTCTGCACCTTTTCATATAAAAGAGTCATTATGACCAGAACTTGAATGAATGGCACCTTAATACTGTGAATCATATAGAAAGTGTATTAAATAATGTAGAAGAGAAGCATATAAACTCCTTTTAGGGGAAAAAAATATTAAAAAATACAGGTTCTTCCTTTAAGGGGGACAGCACCTCTAGTGCTTGCCAGCAACATTGAATGTTAAGGAAAACATGTCAAATTGAATACATTTTTTTAAATTGGGGAATTGGGGGAAGGGGAACAGACAAGTTGCTGTCATTTTGTTCTTCAGTCTAGTTGTGGAGGACGTTGCTTCACTGGCCCAAGTTGACACCATCATTGCGCTCTTCCTGGGAGAGGCAGATCAGTCGCTGGCTTCCGGACGGCCGCTCATGCTGGCTGCTGGCTACATACAGTAGCCCATGGCAACCCACTGCCACAGGAGCTGCAGCCTATGCAGTCGCCAGCAACTCACGGCAGCCCAGCTCCAGGTTGAGCTGTTGTTCAGCATCTTAGCTGTGGAGGGCAGTGTCACTGGCCCTCATATGTGGGATCCGAACCGGGGCCCTCTGGCGTCCCAAGCCAGTTCTTAACCATCGCACCACTCGGCCGGCCCTGTAGTTTTGATTATACCCAGGAGGTTGGTTGCCTTTTGAGAAAAAATGAGATTAAATAATCCTTTCCTCTTGCCTGAGCTAGGGAAACCTTTCTGAAACACAAATCTGAGCATCTCTCTCCAGGATAAAACCTTTCACCAGCTCCCAGGGCCCTGAGGATCAAATCTAAATTCCTTTACATGGGTTGCCAAATATTTCATGATCAAGTTCCTGCTAACATCTATAGCCTCATCTCATGCTGTTTCCCCATCGCATTCTGTTTCCAATTCTTACCTGTGGATTCACAGTTTCTGTGTCTTTCCTTGGAGCCTGCTTATGCCATTTCCTTTGCCTAGAACACCCTTCTTCCACTGCCTCTCCTCTCAAGGTCTTCTCCCTCTCCTAGTGTACTCTTACTCATCCTGTAGGACCCAGCTTAGGTATACTCTCCTGTAGAAGGTCTTCCCTTTACGCGTTCATACATGCACACACTGATACCCTTCCTGTGTTCTTCATAACACATTATAACTACCTTTATATCACACTCTACTATAATTGCCCGTCTGTTTATGCTCCTTACTTGTCTGTGAATGTTTGGGGACCTGGGGTGTATATTTGTTCATTGGTGTATCTCTAGTGCCTAGAACCTAGGAGTGTGAAGTAAGTATTTGTTGAATAAAGTTAAACCTCTATGTCCCAAACTTATTTTCAAAATCGTGTTCCCCAGGGTATTAAAAGATGCCATGAAAAAAGAGCCCCATAGTTAAATAGGGAACTCCATTGTGAATTTCTAACAGGGGACATAAAATATATTATACTGCCCTGAACCTGATAACAGTGGTTCCCAAATGCCAGTGTGCCCAACCCCAACAATTTTAGATTTAGTGAGTGGGGCCTAGGAATCTATTGTTAAGACTGCCCCAAGTGGGCCGGCTGAGTGGCTCAGTTGGTTAAGAGATTGCTCAAGAGTGCGAGCTCTGAGCAACAGGGTTACTGGTTCGATTCCCACGGCCAGTAAGCTGCGCCCGAGCTGAGCTGCCACTGATCTGCCAGCAGGTGGCAGGATGGCTCAGTTTATGAGAGCACTTGCTCCTAAAAAGGTTGCCGATTTGACTCCCACATGGGATGGTGGGCTATGCCCCCGTGCAACTAAGATTGAACAGGGCACCTTAAGCTGAGTGGCCATGAGCTGCTGACGGGTGGCCGGATGGCAACTGGACTTGGAGCTGAGCTAGCTGCGCCCTCCTCAACTAAGATGGAAGGACAACAGCTTGGCTGTTCCCCTTCCCCAATTCCCCAATAAAATCTTTAAAAAAAAAGCCCCAAGTGATTCACATGTGAGGCTAGATTTGGAAACCACTGATATACAATACTTACAGAGATTGTTAAAATATGTAATGCATTTGGAATAGTGCCTAGCACATGGTAATAAGCGCTATATTACTGTTAACTGCTGCTATTGATGTCATTATAGTTATATAAGACCATGAAACACATTTTTGTGGCATATTTGTTAACACTTCATAAAACCTAGTTTGAGAAAGGCTGAATTAAGCAAGCACTTCAGTGCATGCTGATGGCACCCAAATCGCTATCTCTATACCTGACTTCTGACCTCAAGACTTGACTCGCCAATTGCCTACTGGACATTTTTATATGGATGCCCTGTAGATATCTCAAAAATACTTTGAAAATCCCAAACCTTATATTTCCTATTGGCATCACCATCCCCTTGTCAGCCACACTAGAAATCTTGAAATCAACTACATTTCCTCTTTCTTCCTCATCCCTCATATCTCGTCAGTCACCAAATCCCACTTGTCCCACTTCAGAAATGTCTCTCAAATCCCTCCCTCCATTACCAAAATAAGCCAGGCTACTTCTTTTACTTGACCCTTGCTTCTCTGCCTGGCAAATTGCTGACCACGTTTAAATGTCACTCCTCCATCTCGCTCCCGCCCCACCCAGCAGCTGCCAACTCATTGAAGCCTTTCCCAACTAGTCTGAACAGAACTTGTTCTCTCATCTTGTCCCAGAGCACTTTGTATGTAACTTTATTACAGCACTTACCACTTTGTACTTTGTGCTTAACTTCATTGCCTCAGTCCACGTCCTTCTTTCCTAGCATTTGAGCTACTTAAGAGCAGATGCCATGTGTGAATCATTCTGTCTCCCAACACTTGATTAGCGCATGGCACATGGTAGGGGTCAGACTTCTTCGTGGATTTCCTCATCTGACATGGTCTGCTCAGTCTCTGAGTAGCCGGGGATGGTCTCATCTTGGATGTAAGAGTGGCTCAGTGGCTCTTGCAGGTGTGGCCAGGCTGCTTAGGAATGATGAGGTCTCCTTCTCAGACTTGTTTCAGTGAATTTAAACAACTGAGGAAGGCCACAATTAACTCATTTCTTTTCTCTCTACAGAGATTAGTACTGAAGAGCAACTAAGGCTCCTGCAAGAGGAGAAGCTTTGCAAAATCTGTATGGATAGAAATATTGCTGTCGTGTTTATTCCTTGTGGACATCTGGTCACTTGTAAACAATGTGCTGAAGCAGTTGATAAATGTCCCATGTGCTACACAATCATTACTTTTAAGCAAAAAATTTTCATGTCTTAATCTAACTCTACAGTAGGCGTGTTATGTTCTTATAACCCTGATTGAATGTATGATGTGAACCGACTTTAAGTAACCAGCATTGAATTCCATTAGCATCTGCTACCAAGTAGAAAAAAATGTAAACTGCAGTGTTTTAGTTGGCAATCTAAAATTTTAATTTCTGGATTTCTCAGGATATTAGCTGTATTATCCTATTTTTTCTTTTACTGTTATTTAATTCAAACCCTAGACTAAGAAGTATCATACTGTAACTGATCACAATGTGTATTTTAGTACACTGACTTAGCTTTTAAATATAACTGAATCAATCTACTGAATTTTTCATTCTTCTCAGATAGGCTTAACAAATGGAGCATTCTGTGTAAACGTAGAGATTAATCTCAATCACATAATTTGTGTGAAAAAGGAATGAACAGTTCCACACTGGTAGCAAGATATAGATTATTTTTCAATATTTGTATTTTCAGATTCTGTCCATTTTCTTTTAAAATTATACACTCATAGTTGGGTGGATAATTTTTTTAAAAAATGACTTTGCCATTGTTAAAAGTGTATTTAATGATAGAATGCAATCTAGCCTACATGTACTGACATGGAAAGATGTCCAAGATATATTAAGTGTAAAATGCAAGTGGCAAAACACTATGTATTGAATGCGCCAAATGAAGGTGTGTGTGTTTTGTATATGTGTAGAACAAAAGATATGGAAAGATACGCACCAAACTGTTAAATGTGGTTTCTCTTGAGGGGGGTGAGGCCTGGGCCCCAGGGTGGCTTACACTTTCTTTTTCATTTTGTTCTGTTGAATTTTTTGTAAGTATGTGTTCCTTTTGTAATCATAATTTTTAGAAAGTATTTTACTGATTTAAAGGCTTAGGCATGTTCAAACGCCTGCAAAACTACTTATTGCTCAGCTTTAGTTTTTCTAATCCAAGAAAGCAGGGCAGTTAACCTTTTTGGTGCCAATGTGAATTTTATTTTATTTTAATTTTTTTTATCATCTTTCCAATGTGAAATTTAAATGTCTTTATGTTTGTCCTGCTTTGTGGATGAAAAGTATTTCTGAGTGGTAGTTTTCTGACAGGTAGACCATGTCTTCTTCTCTTGTTTCAAAATAAATATTACTGATTTTGTAAAATGAAATATAAAATATGTCTCAGATTTTCCAATTAATTAGTAAGGATTCATCCTTAATCCTTGCTAGTTTAAGCCTGCCTAAGTCACTTTACTAAAAGATCTTTGTTAACCCAGTATTTTAAACATCTGTCAGCTTATGTAGGTAAAAGTAGAAGCATATTTGTACACTGCTTGTAGTTATAGTGAAAGCTTTCCATGTTGAGATCCTCATATCATCTTGTATTGTAAAGTTCCATGTGAGTTTTTACTTGTAGGATGACTAAGATGTATATAGGACAAAATTTCAAGTCTTTCCTCTATCTAACTTCTTTTGTTTTCTTGACTACTTCTACTACCACTACTACTACTAGTAGTAGTAGTAGTAGTAGTAGTAGTAGTAGTGTGCAGTAGTAGTAGTAGATACTTCTGAAATAAATGTTATCTCGAGATCCTTAAAAGCATCTTGGAAATTATAAAATATTGAAAAGGAAAGAAGAATAGTTGTTTAAATATTAAAGAAAAAATAAAACAAATAAGAATTAATACAGATAAAAAATGGAAGTTTAAAAATGCTTCATAGAAACCCAAGCTTTACATTACAAGATTCTCACAATGACCTATTTTAGAGGTGAGTGAGGCATTTTACTGCACATAAAAGTTTGAGAGTGAATCTTAAAAATTCTAATTATTGTTGTATTTTCTAAGAGAAAGAGTATTGTCATGTTCTCCTAACCTCTGTTGATTACTATTTAAATAATATTCATTTAAAGCATTGCAAATTTAAATGAGGATTTTTAAAATTAAATAATGATTGCCCTGTTTTGTTTTACTACTAGTTATACATTCATTAAGTTAAATTTTATATGTATAGTCTAAGCTTTAAATTTAAATTGTAGTACAAGGGGAGAAAAGTGTTAAAGTTCTTTAAGTGTGTTTTCCAGGATTGGTCAGCTCCAAGTCAAGTAGTTATTTCAATCAAGTTGTTGGCCAAGGACTGAATTGTTTAAACATAAGGCTTTTCCTGTTCTGGGAGCATCAGTTCATTAAAACTCTTCTTTTAGAACTTGTATGTTAAGAATTAACTGAGACCTTTTTTCTCCTCATGAGTTGTAAAATTTAGTGCATGAAGCTGATGTGACTAACAATTTTATTTTAAGAATGTTTAGAAATGCTGTTGTTTCAAGTTCTTAAATCACTCAGCACTCCAACTTCTAATCAAAATTTTTAAGACTTACCAATGTTTGTTTGTGTTGACACTATAAAAAGTACTGGATTCTTCCCATCTAATTGTGCCAAAATGATCACTTGCACAGTCAAAAATATAACCAGATCTAAATCTCTGCCTCCCCCCTTCCCAGAATAGTCCTCAGTATCTACATGTAGACATTCCTTTCTGTGTAAAGTTCGCTCTAAGATTTAAAGGTCACCACCTATTTTACTGTGTTTTAGTCATGTGAAGAGTCTGTTTGTTTTGTAATAGTTATGTTTATTTGGAATAATTTGGTGTGCTTATCAAAAGCCTTGTCTTAATTTTTGAGAAATGGGTTTAGTGTTTATAAAGTCAATTCCAGTGTATTAATTAATGGCTTTGTATTGCCTTTCTTGCTAGATTTGTTTTTTTGTTTGTTTTTGCTTTTTTTCTCTTTAGTTAGGGGCTGAGATGGGATAGGGTGGGTGTAGTGAGTGTATATAATGTGATTTGGCCCTGTGTATTATGATCTTTTGTTGTTTCATTGTTATAATATTTAAATTTTGGTAGTTTTTTTCTTGTTTGTTTTCATTTTAGTGGATAAAATTGGTATTTTGAACTCTCAGAATGGGAGACTACCACCACAGCATTAGTTGCATGTATTGTATCTTTCAGGTCCAAATCACTGTTTTATTTCCTGATTTACCTAGGTGTTGAATATGGGGAAAAGGGGTGGATGGGTGGGAGAAATGGGATTGATTGTTTATCATTTCCATTAGAGAAATAAGAAGTCAGGAGGGAATTTTTTAAGATGTAAATAAGTATGCATTATTATTTTTTTAATTAAAGTTTATTGGGGTGACAACTGTTAGTAAACTTACATAGGTTTCAGGTGTACAATTCTGCAATACATCATCTATATATCACATTGTATGTTCACCACCCAGTCAGTTCTCTTTCCATCACCATATATTTTATCCCCTTTACCCTCATCAATATTTGACAGATGTAGCTCTTTTTAGTGAAATTGTAGCCTTTTCTTCATCTGTGAAATGAGAATATTACCTGTTTTATAGTTATGAGAGTTCAAGGAGAACCAGGTATGTTAAATACCTGCTCTAAATATTAATTCCTTTCCTAACACTTTATTATCCTCTAGGTTTGCCTTGACTCTGGAAATTTGGGCTAAAACTTAGCTGATAACTCTTTCAGTGACTCTTACTCATCTTTTTTGGTGGTTCTCATAGTTAAGATGTAAATTACAATAAATAAATCGGTCAAGTCCTTACAAATATTTAAATTTGTTTTTTAAAATCTTGACAAAGTATTCTCAAATTTAGTTGAGATTTCCTAATGAAAACAATTGGCTTATTCCCACTTTCATAATGAGTTTTAGTTTGATTTGTATACTTAGCACAATGTGAATTTCATTTGCAGCATGACAGAATTATAGGGTGTCAAAGCTAGAAGTGACTTTAGAGAGTATCTGATTCATCCCCCTCGTTATACAGATGAGGCAACCCAGGCTCAAGGTGAAGTGATTTGTTTAAAGCAGTATAGCTGATTAGTGGAAGCCCAGACTGGGATATAGTTTGAAGGTAAAAAACTTCAAGCTGCCTCTCCTGGGAGGTCTCAAATGTTTATTTTTTTCAACTATTTTTTCTTCTGTACCATAACTTTCACTACATATTAAATGACACTTTATAACTAATACAATAGGACAATCTTAAATACATATATCTTCAAATTATACAATAATACATTAATGTTTGGGTGGTATGTTTCTATTTTGAAGTCTGAAGTTTGCAGATATATGTATAGATTTTTTGGCATTTATTGCATTCTTACTGTATATCACTAATGTAATGTTTAAAATTACTATATATTTTGTCATTGTCTATACTTAGTTACAAATTTGCATTTTTGATTTGATGTAACAAAGGCTTTAATGTAGTTTTAGCTAGAAGATTTTGCATTTTTTTCATTACTGTTATATTTTATCTAACCTGACAGAATGACTGATTGTTATGTCATTGTATTAGTGTTGTGAATAATCATGAGAAATGTTTTGAGAGAGTACTATATTTGTGAATATTATTTTATGACTTTTTCCATTTAGTAGAAACCTTTTCATCAATATAGAAAACTAAAAAAAAAATACTTTCGACTGCATAATCTGGAAGTCATAGATTGAAGCTTATTTTTCTGTGAATAAAATTTATTCAATAAAGTACTATTCTTTAAAATGATATTTTATTATTTTGTGTATGTTGTACTTCCTCAGGGGAAAAATATAACCCTTTTAAAAATAAAATGTAATCTCCTAAATACATCTTGTGCCATTGGGCCAGGCATTAAGCTACACATCAATTTGTCATTAAAAAAAAAGACATCCATTTTCACATTAATTTATAGAATTCTATAAGTGCATGAAAATTTGATTTTTAAAATGTATAAAAATATGAACCATAATAACTACCCTCCCAACAAAAATTGGCCTGGTTGTTCCAAGAGACTATAGGCGACATAAAAAAGCTTGAACAAGGAAGGGGCCTAAAAGCCGCTGCCCCTTTGAGGCAGCAGCCAAGAAGGATTTTTGTGAGTCTGTACAGGCAGCAGCCGAGAGAGTTTCAGAAGCTGCAAACAATCTGATAGAAAAAAGAGGATAAGAATAAGGGATCCTGAAAGGCAGAGAGTGTAGAAGTAGGTATTTCAAGTAGCTATTTCCCCCACCCTTTCCTGCCCACAATGGAGATTCCTAAATTAAGAGTTGTATTTCAGGCCTAGTCTATTATAGTACTATCAAGTCCTTGGCTATGTTATCACTGTTATCTGAGATATACCATAAGAACTGTGTTTTAAATGCAGTCCACTTTTCTTCTTACACATCAACTACACTTTCAATGAATATTGATAAAGATGTAAAGTTTCAAAGCTTTCTCTTACAGAAATTTTCAAAATTACACAAAAGTAGAAAGGAAAGTATAATGAACCCCATGGTACGCATCATTCTGCTTCAACAAAAATCAATATTTTGTCAATCTTGTTTAATCTAGGACTACCCCTCCTTTTTTTTTGCTTGCATATTTTAGAGCAAATCCTAGACATCATGTCATTTCCCCTGTAATTACCTTATGCACC